CACAATCTTGGCTCACTGCAACCCCCACCTCCCGGGTTCAAGCGATTCTCCTGCCTCAGCCTCTCAAGTAGCTGGGACTACAGGTGTGTGCCACCATGCCCAGCTAATTTTTGTATTTTTAGTAGAGATGGGGTTTCACCATGTTGGCCGGGATGGTCTTGATCTCTTGACCTCGTGATCCACCTGCCTCGGCCTCCCAGGGTGCTGGGATTACAGGTGTGAGCCACCACGCCTGGCAATGTTTCAATTCTAAGAATGAAAAAAATTGACTTACATTGTTCGATTGTTCAAAGTTGACTTATATTGTTATTAAACAAGGGGGCACTGGCAAAGATGACTATGCTTTTATAATGCTTTAACAAGCTTCGTTGAGTAATTTCTTCTCTTACAGTTGGTTTGAACAAACTGCTATTGCAGGAACTTTAATGCAACTGTGTTTTGAGACAAGAACCCGCTGTGTTGCCCAGCCTGGTCTCTAACTCCTGGACTCGAGGCTCCTCCCACCTGAGCCTTCTGAGTATCTGGGATTACAGGGATGAGCCACCACACCTGGATCTAATGGAACTTTTTTACTGAGAATTGTTGGTTGCTTTTGGTTACTTTAAAAGTCATATTTATAATACTTTTTAGGTCAACATTTATTAAAATCTTCTCTTTATACTTTTTGGTATTCCCCACAAGGCTTTGCATCAATAATAAGAAGTGTATGAAAAAGTTGCACATAAATTTTAAAACATTTTCCATTAAAATTATGTAGTAGAAAATTAGAAAGTACCACTAAACCAAGAGGGAGAGAAAGCCCCCCAAATCCTCACTACTCAAAGAAAACCACTGGAAATATTTTAGTATAATCTATCCACACACTTGTTGAGAGAATACCTTATACTCTGTTAAGTACTTGTGGTCAGGGTTTGGTTAGTATATGAAGAATGGAAAGAAACAAAAGAAACAGAAGTGAAGGGAGCTATTGTGAATTAAGTTTTGTCTGTGGTCAGGCACTGTGCTAAATACTTTATTTATTTATTTATTTATTTATTTGAGACAGAGTCTTGCTCTGTCACCCAGGCTGGAGTGCAGTGGCGAGATCTCAGCTCACCACAACCTCCATCTCCCGGGTTCAAGCAATTCTCCTGCCTCAGCCACCTGAGTAGCTAGGACTACAGGCACATGGCACCACGCCTGGTTAATTTTTGCATTTTTAGTAGAGACACAGACACGCAGGTATCACATATCTTGGCCACGGCCGGTCTCAAAACTACCAGACACTTGTGATTCTGCCTGCCCTCCCGACTAAACAGCTGCTGGATTACAGATGTGAGCCCACCCGCATCCCGGCTGAGGTAGCCACATCTTATCAATTCATTTTCCGTACGCAATGGAAAATGAGATTTATGGAGGGCCTTACAGTATTAATTGTCCTAAATAAAATAGTAGAAGGCTGGGCACAGGTGGCTCAAGCCTGGTAATGCTACGCCCACCTTTGGGAAAGCAGCCTGCGCGGCAGTTGGATCCAACCAAGGTTCCAGGAGTTCCAGACCCAAGCCTGGCCCAAGATGGTGAAATCCGTCCCCTACATGAAAATACAAAAAATTAGCTGGGCCGCAGTAGCATGCGCCTGAATTAACCCGCAGCTAACTTTGGGAGGCGAGGGCAGGGAGAATCTCTTTGAACCCTGGGGAAGGCCAGAGGCTGCAGTGAGGCCGACGAATCCGTAGCCACTTGCA